TGTTTGCTTTTTATCCTTAAAAACTAATAATCATGAACTCTCACTGATGTCAGGGCCACTGTAGGAAACAATAAAGAGAGAAGGGTTTTTTTCATAGCTTAGAGGAAATTGTAATCTGAGATAGAACAAATATAGCCTAATACTGAGTTCTGGCATACAACCTGCCCACAAGAAGCAACAACACCCTTTTAGATCTGAAGGAAGCCAGACCTGACGCAGTCACTTATTTCCTTGTGTTAGATCACACAAATACTTAAAAGATTCTCTTTTGTTCACCAGGAACGAAGCCTGGGGGATTTCAAGCTTTATCTGTACATCACACACAGCTCCCACCCTGCTGTGTGACTTCATGTGACACAGTACAAAGCAGTTCTCTGTACCTCTTGTCAACAGTTTGCCCCAAATGAGCACCAGTCCAAAGCTTAAGATTTCTTCTGTGCCTGGCTCCATTTAAGTCCTACAGCCTGATTGGAGACTACTGTCACCATCACTTTCAGTACAGGCTGTTTCAATGTTGCTTCTCTCCCTTACAATATTCCTATGGCTCCCAAATTCTCCCTTGAACACTAATCTGATCAACTTCAATACTTCGGCCAGCTCATACACTCATCAAGTAAACCATGATCCTCAGAGTAATCAAACAAAGAATCAAGCAAACCCTTTGATACTCAGTGTTACAGAGAGACCTTTCATGGCTTCCCTTTAGTTCTCCAATTCATCCCCAATAGCCTTTAAGACTGGCTATCTAAGAAGAGTTCCCAAACAGACTCATTTCCCTCTGCTTTTCTCCCATAGAAGCAATCATGACTATGTAACAATAATAATTATACTATCCTTCTGGAAAAAATGATGACATTTAAAGAGACACCTGTGCCCTTCCCTTTAGCTATCAGATTATTGAGACAATGAGCCCTGAGAATTTGGAAATCCCCTCAGGAGCCTCATGCTAGAAAAAGGAAAAGGCTGAAGCTTGGTGTCAGTTAGAGGTTGGATTTGTCTTCCAGGAAGAGATTTCACATAGTTCTAACACTTTGTCAAACCACCTTGAAGGAGAGATGGGAACTAAGACAATGGCTTGGCAGAACCATACCTTGAGTAGGTTGTCCTGTATTTAAAGCTGAACTGCATGACAGGACTCAGCACGTATTTGAATGGTTCGATGGGTTTCTTTATTTGTTCTTCCGGTGTGGTCGCATTGCATGGATCTTTCTTTGCCTTTCACTATCCTTGTTGAGTGTGCACAGAGGAGAGATGGTTGGGCCCAGGCTCTGACCCTAAGAAATCCAGTATCTCTCTTTGATCTCTGAACAGTCCACTTTCCTTCATCTTACATGGCTATGATATCATAGATAGTAATACCAGGACCTTGGAATAAGATTGTGTGAGCTGGCACACTATTTCCACTCCTCAGATGTGAAACCTTACTCAAATCCTCCATGAGGACCCCAGAGGACCCCTTTCTTTCACAAAGGATTGTGGGTAATATGGGAGACAAATTTTATAAAATGCTTAAATAGTGTCTTGAACAACTAATGACCCCCCCCAAAAAATAGTAGTTATCATTGTCTCCTAAACCACAATGATCTTGGCTTCTTTTTGTAACAATTGTGCCTCTTTTGTGGAAATCATTCAAATTCCAAAGGTTGGGTTTGTTTTCCATCTCCCAGAGTTTTCATACAATCCTGTTGGTACTGAACAAGTCTGTAATAAGTGCATTTACCATTAAAACGTCCAGTGATTCAGACTTCTTCCCCACCATCCGGTGAGCCGCTGAGAGGCATAAACCATTTCTGATTCCTATTTAAATCACTGGAGCCTAACAGAATCCTTTCTCCGGTGCCTAAGAAATACTAATTTAGGAAATAAGCCTCCATTTTGCCTTGTAGAAACTAATTGCTTGGCATTCAACCTGCTTATTTTGCTAATCTTCCTGCTTACACACCTTAACCCTTCCTCCCTCAGCAGCCAACATGATCAGATGCAACATCCGTCTCATCTCTTTGTACTTCAAGATTAAGTCCAGCTTCTTGACCCCAGCTCCTAAATCCTTGCAATATTCAGCTTCCATCTGCACCTTGGTTCTAAGCCACTGTCTTCTTGTTCTCCATCACCTAGAATACTACCCCTCAACTCACTTCTACTCTTCCTTGGCTTTAAGTAAAATGTATTTTCACTTCTGGAATATTATTTTCTAGGTTTTACCAGTCACTTTGAAAAAAACAAAACAAAAAACAAAAAGCCTTTTGCCCTCTGTCATGTCTTTTCTTCCTGGTGTGTGTCAGACCATTGGAATCACCTGCCTTTGATGCTTTTTTAACTGTCCACACTGAGTTGAGAGCTCCACAAGGGCAGAGGCTTTGTTGTTTACTCACCATGTGAGATGAGATGCTCGGAAGATGTGTATTAAGTAAATGCATACAAAACAGACCCTTTGAGAGAATGCCCATCCACACAAGAATCATTCAGGAATGACAAATCACTAGAGGATAGGACTTGATGTTTTGTTCCTATCAGAAAGGGGAGGTGGGCCTTTGTCAGAGTTTCATGATGTGCCATTCTCGCCTCCTCAACACAAGGAGCAAGTCCCATAGTAAAAGATGAGCAAATGTATCAGAAGCTTTTTTAAATGCTCTATGAAAGTATTAAAACTATTAGGCAAGCAAGGGAGGGTCAAAGAAATGAATGGTGTGCCTTAACAGAGTAAAGAGTTAAAGAACTTGTTTTCTCAGAGAAGCAGTCAGGGAGTTCCTGCTTGTATGGAATGAGAGGAATGGAGAGAGGAAGAGAAAGAGAGAGAGAGAAATGTATAAAATTAATACTGAGCTTTATTATCTGCTATGTATAATCTGACAATAAAAAATATTTACCAAGCACTCTGCAGTTTAGGAATATCTCCATATAGTGTATCTCATTTGATAAGACCACTGAATGATAGAACAGCTCATGGACAGTCTATTCAACCGAGTGTCAAGAAACCTGGTATGCATCCTGTGCTGTTAACAACAAGCTATGGCTTTTGGAGAGTTACTTTGCTTCTCAGGAACTTGATTTACCTTTTGATGAAATGATATCACATAGGTGGCCCTTACAGTCCATTCAATTCACACATCACAGTGGCTTCTGCTTAACTGATGTCACACTTATTTCCTTCTAGATCCAAGGCAAAACGTTCCCACTTTGGAACTTTCTCAAGCATCAGTGCATCTTTTTTGACTCTTCCATTGATGTTCCCAAAATCCAGTTGTCTGAGTGTTCCCTGTCTGAGGTAATCAGAGAACACTCTAGTTCTCTGTGGTGTAACAGTCTCTCCCCTTTAATTGAGCTCTTCTGATGCAAGTTGTGACTACCCTCCAGGTCCACGGTCTCGCTCACTTCATCATGCACTGTGATCCCTCCCACACTACCACCAAGGGCAGCTAACAACCTTCTTGTGTTTCATGTTAGAACTCAAGGACAGGTCTTCAGCCAATTGAATAAGTGTTTTTCAGTCTTCAAGGGAGAAGGCCGAGGACTTTCCTTAATTGACATACCTAGTTCCTTCTTTTGGTTGTGAGCCTAGCCTTTAGCGAGTGAGCCATCTCTCCAGCCCTAGTTCCCTCTTTTATATTTGTCTGCCATCTCCATACTCTGCTAGCCAAGGAAGATGTGCATGGGGGTGTCTGGATAAAAGGAATTGTATGTTTGGGGATGCAACCTTTCTGGCCCAGAGCATAGAGGAACATTACATGTTTCTATTTCCTCTTCTATATTCTTGATGCCTATATGAGAAACTGATCTTTGGTACCTTTCATCCTTTGTGTAAATCGTCTAATATTTTGTTTCATACTTGATCTCAGCCAAAGAGACTGAAAGGCAATGATGTCTCTGTGTGCAAATTCCAGGTCACTGAACTATAGGCAGGCCCCTGTGTGATTTTAAAGATGAAAGCTGTTATGGTCAGACATTGAAATACATTTCTCCCTTTCAGTCACAGCTTTCTCTTGTGAAAATGTTTCCTTTGTAATGCAGATCTGGGTGTTTCAACCATGATTACAAGATGTGAAATACTTTCGTGAGTCTGAAGAATTCAGCCCATGCTATTGAACGGGAAAGGTGCTCTGGAGTTCAGAAGCACCATCAGGGATGAACATTCTTCCACTGATCCCCAGCCTGTTAGTATTCCAGGCAAGCTACATACCTTTCTGCCTGCTGGATCTTCTCTCTCCTCTTTTTTTTTTTTTTTTTTTTTTTTTTTTGAATACTAAATACTTAGAATTACATAAGATATAAGCTCAGCTGCAATGAGAGTTGGTGTCTTATGGTTCATCTACTTCCCAGCTTTGGTCTTCAGCTGTTGTTTTGGGCTTTTACAGGAAGCAAGCTCCTTCAGGAGAAAATGTCAAAGCCAGGCTGAATTTTGTTAATGACATATTTAGGTATGTCTCAAAGTCAAGTTGATTATAGACATACGGAGGTATCTTCCTTTGGCTGGTTGTGCTATGCTGCCGGGTTTATAGCTGTGAGCCATTCACACAAATCCCTCTGTGCCTACCAATCAGGCTGGCTACTTCCACAGATCACTGCCTAGAGACCATGGTCTTAGGGCACCTAAGACTGCACAGAATGTATTTCTAATCCTAAGGGAAAAATGTATTGAGAGTCAGCCGCAAGGCAAGCTGAAGTATTTCTTTCTGGTTCTTTCTGGGAACCAGCTTCCTCAAACATTGTTTTTTACAAGCCAATGAAAAAGCCCCTTATTTTTTTCAGCACCAGGGACTCTATATTCCCCTGCCTATAAATCTAAAACTTCACACATTAGCCGAAATGTTAAGCAAAAACTCATTTTCTATATGCCTACTTTGCAAAGGGCTTCTCTCTGCTCAGTCTCTGCATCCTTGATGAGTCAGTCCTTTCTTCCTCACCCTTTCTAGGGGCTAGCTGGAGAGGCAGAGCGCTACAGCGGAGCTGAGCCTGCAGACCTGCCATCTGATTGGCTGCCTGGCGCGTGACTGGACTATAAAAGAGACCCCTACAGGCTTGGGAGCCAGAGGCTCTGAAGATTCTGACTGCATCTTTGCTCAAAATAGAAAGCAGCACTCCTCCTGCTGCCTTTCTCTCCTCGCTGCGAATCCCACAATTAAACACGATGTGCAAAGGACTTGCAGGTCTGCCGGCTTCCTGCCTGAGGAGGTAAGATTGCTTTCTGTCACTGGCCAGACTAAAGTTTTGCATAGACTTTCTCAGTGACTTGCATGCTTTGCAATGATAGCTTCTCTCTCTAGGACTAGCCAGACACTTTGGTTTAGGGAGCAGGGTCCTCAAATACTGCTTCCCTTCCCGTGTGTTTTATTTTGCATGCCTTTAGTTTGGAGACTGGTTCTGACTTTTAAGCTTGGTCCTTTAGTAAAGATGTTTGGATTACAAAGTGGTAGGAGGTTTGGAATGCATTTATATTCGTTTTGGTGATTGTTGTCCCTATTTGAGCATTGCTGAGCACCCAGAATTATGGTTCTCTGATAACACACTAGTACTTGTGTGTGTGGGGGGGGAGGGGGGGAGAAACCCCAGAAGGAAGTTTGGAAACATTGTCAGGAGGCTTTCTGCAGTCCCCCAGCTCTTCCTTCGTACAAACAAATGTGAGATTGTGAGAATAAGAGGCTTTTTCAAACCAGATGTCTCCGACCTCTCTACCCCATCTCCAGCTATAAACAAGCGATGTGGTTGAGAAGTATGATTAATTTTACAGGCACCCTGTGTCTTTTTAAGGGTATGAATAAATTATTTCATAGATCACTTATATAGTAGCAGGTTCAAAGTGAAACAGGAGGTTGGTATGTATTACATGATTTGCTCTTGAAATTAAAGATCAAAAGTGGTTCTACCAACTCCTCTTACCCACCAAAGCCTACCGTTTGTGTGTTACTGAGCCTGCCTTCCACACATTCTACCATTCAGGAGTATAAACACATCAATCACTTTTTAGAACCGAAGCAGGGTTGGTGGTGGAGGGGGTCTGCAGGAGAGCAAGGGGGTAGCAGACTCCTTTTCATCTTCACTCTTAAGTGAAGTTAAGTGAAGTGAGCAATTCCAAGCTTCTGTTAAATTATAGAAAATTAGCCATGCAGAACTTGAGTGTTGGGACTTAATGTTTGCCCCCAGCAAATAGTTTTTGGGGGGGCAGATGGAAGGGAGCTTAGCAGCTTTCATCTTGAGTGCAGAGGGTCTTATCTGCTCAAGGTCACATGATTGGTGGAGGCAGAGGAAGAATCCCATCCAGGTTAGCTCTCTCCAGAGACTTCCGAAGTCACTTTGGTTTTTATTTTTATGCTTCTGTTGTGATACAGGTACTGACAAGCATACTTCCAGTTCTTTGGAAAAGCACTTACATTAGTGCCAGCAGTAGCTGCTGAGGGCTCAGACAGAGGCGCCACACAGACATAGGAGGTCATTTTTCTCTGGCTGGATTACAATGCATTCATAGCATCACTTTAGAACTGCCCCAGCTCTGGTGATTTTATCTTGGTGTCACTGGGGAGGACTTTGTCACCAGTCAGCAGCTAGGGAATAAGAGAAAGGAAGGCAGCCTTGTGAGGGATGGAAAAGTACTACTTAAAGGGCAGCCCAAGAACAGTGCTGAGAAAATCCACTGATAAGCCACCATGGTGTCAGCATCAACCCTAAAATGCCACTGTGCACCACCCTTCTTTTTTAACCCTTCCAGGCAAGAACAATTCTTCTTTGTTGCTTTGGCAACCCTATTTTTCTGAAACTTTTTCATGTTTTTTATAAAAGAGATAATAGTGATTAAAAAAAAACTATTAAGAAGGAATGATGGAGTTGAGCTGCAAGATCAAGTAGTCAGAAACTCTGTTATACTCTGGTTGCCTATTAAATGGTGGGGGCAAACTGGAAACTGCTCTAGTTAAAGAATTACTCATTTCAGTGATGCTCTGTATTGCTTCTCCTATCCCAAAGTCTCAAAGACCTTTCTAGTGTGCATCTCCATGTAATGCAGTTTTTTTTTTTTTTTTTTGTTTTTCCTCCTGATGGAGATTGCCTAGAAATAAGCCTGGTGGGGCTCAGCTTTCAGCCTGAGCATCTGTGTCATTTCTGTTCCTCTTTGCAGGGATACACACATAAGCTTATGCTCTGTGTACACACACACACACACACACACACACACACACACACACACATCACACACTTAGGAACTGCTTGGCTACCACACTCAGGGCTGGCTGAAGTCATTTCTAGTCTATTGAAGTGCTTCCATAGCTTGTTGGAGGAAATAGCACCCGCCTCCCAGGAGGTGTTTCATAAGAAGGTGTCATGTTTTGCACTTACTGCATGCATTTCAAAAGAGTAGCCACTTATTAGCATGGTTTCACCAAAGTTATCAAAGGGCAAAGCAGTCTTTTGCTGGGAGATCATGCTACTGCAGCCCCCCCCCCACAAGGAAGCTGCTTCTGATCCGCACAGCTGTCATGGACTCTTAAGTACCTACAAGTTTCTCTTTTAAAGAAATCTGTTTATCATGTCAATTCTTGCCTTCTTCTTTGCAGCGCAAAGGATATGAAACACCGGCTGGGCTTCCTGCTACAGAAGTCTGATTCCTGTGAACACAGCTCTTCACACAGCAAGAAGGATAAAGTAGTCACTTGCCAGAGGTGAGAGAAATGGTTTTGGTGAAGTGCTATTGGATATTAACTATCTGATGATAGAGACATTGCAGGAAAGAGTGAGGGGAGAGGCAGACCCTTAGTTGAGCCATATTTGGATAAAGATAGCCTCCATTTCCAAGGTGAGGGCACACAATTACAATCACAGCACTTAGAATGTTAGGAGGGTCATGAGTTCAAGACCAACCTGAGATTTTTAACAAGATCTTTTAACACACACACACACACACACACACACACACACACACACACACACACGGGCGGGAGGGGATCTACTTTCATGGCAATCATAATTAGATTTTAAATCTCTACATACTTTATTAAAAAGGTGTCCTAAAAAACAATAGATCACATCTCAGATTTTTTTTTCTATGATATGTATTTAAATCATTCTTTTTTTTTTTTTTTTTCTGTATTATCTTCAGGGTGAGCCAAGAAGAAGTCAAGAAATGGGCTGAATCACTGGAAAACCTGATTAACCATGAATGTAAGTAACCATACCTTTGTCTTTCTCTCATCATAAAACACACACACACACACACACACACACACACACACACACACACACACACAGAGAGAGAGGGGGGGGTGGATAAGGATAACAGTAAACTGTATTAGACAAGTTATCTCCTAATATTTCAGTTTAGAAGGTACTGAAAAGCAGGCCCAAGTTGCCTCTGTCTTCCAGAATCACGTATAAGCATTTGAGTTTTATAGCTGATATGTTTCAGAGGTTCATCAAATTCAATGGAAAGTCTATTGATGAACAATCAGCAAGAAAACCATCCCTCCTATTGCATAGACAAAATGGCAAAAGATTCATATAATGAGACCTAGCACAATGGACTACAACTCTCATTTTAAACCCACCTTGGCAGTTGATAGCCACACTGATGCTTCCGAGTTACAGTTCCTAGAATGATGGTTCAATCTTGAGGAGAAATTCCTAGATAAAACTTGAGTTTTCTAGATATCAAATATTTATTTGGGCTTCCCTCTTTGACCTCCAAAAGGGAAGGAAGAGGGAGTTTCTTCAACTCATACATGGCTTCCTAAGTACCTTGGCTTTATTTGAAGTATTCTATCTAGCAAGTCAGCCAGTGTGGTGACGGTGGCTCTTTGTCCTCTGTCACAGGTGGGCTGGCAGCTTTCAAAGCTTTCCTGAAGTCAGAATACAGTGAGGAGAATATTGACTTCTGGATCAGCTGTGAGGAGTACAAGAAAATCAAGTCACCTTCTAAACTAAGTCCCAAGGCCAAGAAGATCTATAATGAATTCATCTCAGTGCAAGCAACAAAAGAGGTAAGTTCCCATGGCAGAGAATTTTCTAGATCTTAGTGAAGATTCCTAGGAGTGACATTCAGTGTCAGGATCTTTAGATATACTAGTCAAATGAAGCAATGAGGTGGATTTTTCAATCTTAACAACTTTTCAAGTAAATCTATTAGGAAAAAAAAGTTAATTTTGCCCATGTGATTTAAATGATTTTCCTTAATAAATATAATCATAAATCTCCCCTATGTGAAAGAGAGTAAGGGAAAATAAAGTGCTCTTCCCACTTAGGAGTAAAACAAGCCCTTTATATTCTCACATATGCCAGAGCAGAACCAATGTCCTGGGCTTCATTTCTGGGAAGAATATAAAGAAAGGGTCCTGGCTATTTCTTGTTGAGTATAAGCCTTCAGTCTCCTCTCTTCAACAGGGTTCTAGATCTAACACAGCTTTGGTCTTTGTACTTCAGGTGAACCTAGATTCTTGCACAAGGGAGGAGACGAGCCGCAACATGTTAGAGCCCACGATAACTTGTTTTGACGAAGCCCAGAAGAAGATTTTCAACCTGATGGAAAAGGATTCATACCGCCGCTTCCTCAAGTCTCGATTCTATCTCGATTTGACCAGTCCTTCTAGCTGTGGGGCAGAGAAGCAGAAAGCAGCCAAGAGTTCTGCAGACTGTGCCTCCCTATTCCCCCAGTGTGCCTAATTCTCACACGGAGGCAGAGAGCAGACATGCCAAGACTCTACGCTCTGGAAAATCTGAGGCCAAATATTGATCTGTACTAAGCACCAATGCTTTATCCACGTTGTAGTCTAGCGTCCATGCTGCCTGCTGTGTGCAAGTCACTCCCATGTAAAACTAGACTAAGTTGTGGTGTTGGGGTTTTTATTTCAAATGTTCCCAAGTTTCCTTAAGGGTGTCATGTGAGCAAGTCTCCAAGTAATATCCCTGTAGGTCTGGATTTTCAAAGATTGCTGGCAGTCCCCTGCTTCCAGCAGTTTGACCTCAAGTTAGTTGGTTGGTCCACTTCATGTGGCAACACATGCAATGTCAGCCAGCAGCACTTCCTACAGACTCTCAATGTTTAGGTGAGATTGGTGTGTGCATATATGTATATATTAAATACATATAATATATGCATATATGTTTTGTATATATTGTACCTATGTATCCAAATGTATGTGGATGTATATATGTATACATTCACACATGCACACACATTTCTACAAGAGTGATGGGAAAGACCCTAGGTGCTCAAATTGGAGTATGTACACATGCTTCCACGCATGTTCTGATATCTGGTCCTTCATACTGTGTTTGAACAGGGCAAATGAAATTAACTCCTGTGCAGGCTAAGAAAGGAACACTGACTTGTAGAAAACAAGTTCTGTAAAACCATTGGGTCTTGATGGGGAATAACCATGTTTAGGCACTGACAGCAGCCTCCATATTGAGCACTAAACTAGAGGGTGAATACTCTGGAAACTCGGCTGTCTGAGACAGAACTGCCTTGCATCAAAGATCACGACTGGCACTTTCAAGTCCCTATGCTGATGGCCTTCCTCCTTTGCTTAGGTGCTCAGGGCATGCCGATTAGCAGCTGGATCGGTCTAGAGTTGGGAGATGGGATATTTGAGCTGAATGAAGGAAAACAGTCCAGGTCTTGCCGACTAGCCCTCTTGAGGGCCATAGGCTATGTGAGGGCATAGGACCTGAAGATTGTCCTATTTCTTTCCTCTCTTGATAAGGTGCTTGTCTACTCCCACCCCCTGAGAGCATCAACTGTCAGATGAGCCTCCTTAATTCACTGTGGTTGGTGGTTCACTTTCAGAACCTGGCCTGGCTCAAATCTACATGCCTACATTAGCAAAGCTTCGTCTCAGGAAAGGTTTTGTTTTATAAGGAGGAAGGAAGTTCTTACAAATTGAAAAGCCCTCCTTGATTTTCTGCTTTGAAGTAGGTAAGAGCTTGTCCCTCCTACCCCAAACATTAAGGCTAGCAGAGATTGATGAAGGGAGAAAGGAAAGAAAACGGAAAAGAGAAGAGAGAGGACAGGATATCAGTTGGTAGGACTACTGTTTGGAACTTTTCAAGGCACATGAAATACTTGAAAATTTCTCATTTGTGTTATTTATGATGTTGTTTTGTACAATGTTTATATTATTGTGTTGTTTTATAAATGGAGGTACAGGACATCACCTGACTTACTAATGAATGCCCATGAAGTAATTTTCTTCTCATTCTTCTAAAACTGCTGCTTTTGAGAGCACACACATACTCATGCACACACTGTACCCATTGCTCCAGTCTACATGGCATGCATGCGAACCCCTGTGGCTAAGCCAATGTACTGAGCTGCAATATGAAGACACTGGAGTAGTGTGTATCTAAGTCTCATAGTACTGAGGAAATTGGTTTTCTAACTGTACCTTTCTTGTCTCTCTGACAGTCTTGCTTGTAACGTCCCTAGAGCTCCCTACCAGTGTTCTCCACCCCATTTTTTGTTATACACGGTTCCACAATCTTGTTTGTACAACTCTTTGATCTTGCCCTAATATTATATCTCTGAGATTGTACCTGTACTCACAGACTGCTGTCTCACAAATAGGTTTGGAAAGTCATTCCGAATGAGAAGTAAATTATTTTATGTAATACATTTTGAGTGTGTTTTCAATTGTATTGCCATCGCTCTTTGATATAGTGAGCCTGCCTGCTGCTGGTCCATGCAGAGACTGCTCCTTCCGTATGCATGCCTGTTTCTATCATGTGCTTTGTGGGCCTCAACGCTGATGCTTCCAATGAAGCACACACATCTTGATAATAAGAGTAAATAAATGCTTCTTACAAAACAATCTGCTTGGAAACACATTAATGACCCAGAGAAGCATGTTGTGAGAAAGAGCAGGGTATAGGATGCCTTTAGAAATGACCCACACTGAGTCTTTTATCACTTCCTTGGCAACTCTGGGAAGGAAAGCAGAAACAACATCAGTTATGCTCTGGTTTCTTTCTTCACTGCTCTGCCTGCTCACTGCACTGCTCACAGACCCAGGGCTACTCTAGGTTCAGAGACTGCTAAGCAGATTCAGTGGTCTGTTTGCAGGTCTTTAGTGGGCTTTCAAAACAAACAAACAATAATAACAGGCTCTCATGCTGTAGTCTGGGCTGGCTTGAAATGCAACTGTGAAGCTTAGTTTGGACACAAATTCATCGAGACCCTCCTGTCTCAACTTCCCAAGGGTTGGGATGACTGACACAAACTTTCCCTGCCCAGACTCAATAACGTTTTAAGGGATAGGGCTCATGTTCTGAGGAGCCATCTGCTTTCATCTTCCTGCCTGAGTGAGAGAAGGTGGATCATGGGGAAACCGAGAAAGCTGAGGTAGCTAGAGGTGTTGGGGAGGCAGCTCCTAGCCACTGCTGATTTCTGAGGAAGAGGTCACAGAATGCTCACACTTGAAATCAGTGCTTTATCATGTCATGAGACCCCCATTTCCTGGTTCTTTCCTATTATAAGAGTTGTGCTCACAAGTCAATAGACAAAGATGACTGTAGACATTTTTGAGTAACAATCCTTCTACAGTCCTGGCAGAAACCCTGGATCCTATACTTAGAAAAGTACACAAAGGAAGTCAATTTTCTCATAAATATTTATACAAAATGTTTGCAACCCACCTCTCCAAACTTGAATTGGGATCTCTCTGTTCTCCTTCTCATGCGGGCTTGCTTCTCACAACAGCCCTGAGGTAGAGATGTCAATCATGAACTCTTTCACAGATGAGGTAACTAACACACACACACAACAACAACAACAACAAAAAACTTGCTTGCCAATATGCAAGCAACAGAGCTGGGGTGTGCACTGAGGCATTATGGTCTGTGAAGGACAAGTCAGAGATTCACAGCAGCCTCCAAATAGCCACATACAGATGAACAAAAAAGCACCAAAAGGTGTCACTTGCAGTTATATTGATCAAGAGTGGAGACAGAACACATTCACTATTTCTCTCTTCTCCTGTCTGCCAGCTTCTCAGGCTACACATTCCAGAAAGTATAGGAACAAGAAGGAGGACTGTTGGTGGTTAGATAGTGTGTGGATTCTTGACTATAACACTACTATACTACTACTCAGATCAATACTGAGATCTGCCTTTTAAACACTGCGCTACGCTGTTAATTTGTGTGTGTGGTGGCAGGGGAGGGGGCTTCCAAAGTGTGGTTCAAGATGCCTCATTCATCTCTATAGCAGTCTAAAAACAGAAACTAGACTTTGTTGGGGGATTCTCCCCAGTGTGCTTTGGGCTGTGCTCTGAAAGCTCCTGTTGCCCGTTTTAGAAGTTTCAATTTTTAAAAAGATAACCAAGGATAAACGAAGAGAAAAGGGAAAGACATAGTAAAAGAAAAGAAAAAGACATAACTCTGTTTTAGCTCAGGTGAAACGCACGGGGAAATAAAGAATCATTCCAGCAAAGTAAATCTGAGCCAGGACATGTAACAAATGTGACCAGCTAGGGGCAAAGGCTGGCTGTGGAGCCACTAAATGGCACTGGCCATCCCATTCAGAGGCTGAATTCAAACCAAGATTCTGACAGATCCTTAAGCACAAAATGATCGGTTAAAAACAAACAAACAAAAACACACACACAAAAAAACCCAAAAAACCTATTGTTTTAGCCGGTACTCTTTTGCTTCTTTTATGCCTACATGGTCCATAGAAATGACATGAGAAAGGAAAATACTGGGATTTTCCCTTTCTGTTACAATATGAGAAAATTTAGTGAGATGGCTTAGTAATCATTTACTTTTAGAACCCAATAATTTTAGTTTGTATTTGCAAGGGGTAAGAGAGCCAATATGGAGGACTGCTCTATGATTAACGCTGGCTGATGATTCATGCTTGCAGAGAGGATAAGTTTCCAAAAGAAGCTAACAAGGGAATGGACACACCTTCCATGCATGCCATGAGTTCTGAGGGCCACGCAAGGGCTGGATGCCTTACATTGTCTTGTTTAACCCTGGAGTAAGATGATCTTAGTGTCTCTTCATTACACATGGAAAACTTGGATACAGAAAGTTCTGAGACATACCCCGTAGTATGTACTCAGAAAAAGAGCTTAAGTTTAGTTCAGGGTTTACAATTTGCATTACTCTAGTTGAGAAATAAGAAAGGGAGAAGGAAGGAGAAAAAAGTAAAAGGATAAAACAAATAGAGTCAAAATGAAAAGAGAAAAGGAAAAGAAAGGGGCCACAGAAATGGAAGAAAAGGGACAGGGTAAGGAGAGAGGGTCAAAGGTGGCTGCCATGAAACAGGACAAAATGCAAACCACCTACCATCTCCATGACAAAGGCTGGCTGGAGCACTGAACACTGCTGGGGTTTGCTTATATCTTGCCTGAGTTGGGGGCAAGTGAGAATTATCCCCAGATATGGTCAAAGGTGCATTTTCAAAGCAAGCATTAGATACTAAGGACAGCTCCAACAGTCACTTTTCGGGTTCCTCTTTGTTCTCCAAACTTGCCAGATTCAATACCATTCATAGAGCAGCAAATAGACAAGTGCACAAAACAAAATTTAAAAAGGATAAAAGGTATCCTAAACTCTCAGACATTCTGGTCATTCAGCCAGTAGGAATTACATGCAGCCAGGACCACAGCTGGAAACAGGCATGAGCTCATGGTCCTCCTCACGTTCCTGGCTCCCCTCTGGGAGGAAGCCAGTAGGTTAAAGGGCCCTGTCTCCACTCCATGAGTTCAGTTAAGGCAACAGCATGTGCAAAACAGTGAGCTAGGCCGTGGGAACCAGAGAGTGACAGCCTCCCAAGATTCTGCAAAGCTGACTTTGGGTTCAATCCTGAAGCAAAGGAGGCTGCTCCCTCCCCTTCACGGGGTGTTTGTAGGATTCCCAGATTATCCACCAACCCATTTGGGGTTTCTGTAGCTGTCTTCTTCCAGGACAACATATCCCCAAAAGATGTCCTTGATGATAATGAACTGTGGGAAAAGAGCTAGTTTCCTTGAAGACAAATCATGCATTTTGTCTCCCACCCCTATTACCAACACTTGCTTTTGTCCTCTTCTCTCCACTAAAGGACTGGATCTTTTCAATAATTTTGTCTGCTAATATTGTCTTGCCTTGTTAGTGTTGAAGAAGACGACTGTCAGGAATGTTGGGCAGATTCCAGCTCAAAGGTTTCCCTCCCTCCTCTCTATCTTACCTTAGCAATGGCCCTGAGCTTACACGGAGTCCTTCCATCTGGAAAGTCCACACACCCAACAGATATCTAGCTGTGTAGCATTTCTCTGGAGGGAACTTATCAAAGATATCCCCTCATCCAGGGCCTTAGAGGGCATGGCCTGGATTGTTGGCTTAACTTGTCCACTGGTTTTGCCTCCAGCCTGGGAGCCTCCAATTCATTTCAAATAACTGTAACCATCATGGTTTGTATAGGTATGCATTTGGTACACCTTTTTCCGAAAAGTTAGTGCTTTAAACTCTCCTGGCTGGTGTTCCAGACTCTATGATATTGAATCTTTCAAGCTTTCTTGTCTTATCCTCTACAATTATCTCTTTGATTCTGCTGTGAAGATTGCAAATTTCTAAAGTGGTACACGACCAGTGGCTCCTGTTAAATTTCTGGTCAGTGTATCTGCTTCATTTGGTTAGCTCCTCCATTCATTTTTAAATTAAGCTGAAGATATTCCCCTTGAGAAACTTCTCCCAGTTTCCTGCATGATTTAAATCTTCCCTGGGGATTTCCCTTACTGCCCCATGTGCTTTTATTCCCAGAACATCATTCAGCAATCACTAAGTTTTGACTTCCAAATTATATTGCCAAGTTCTCAAGGCCATGGATGCGTTTCATTGATTTAATAAGACTTGCACCAAGTCATGAGGATACTTATACATTGAGGATAACTGCTTGTAGAATGAGTAGCATCAGTTTACAGATATCTGCATAGAAGCAGGAAGCGGTTCTTCTGTCTCCTCCAACTTCCCTGAGTGTTTACTGCTTCCTGAGTATTGTTGTGATGTAATGACCTCAAACTCTATTATGTTCCTGTCATTTCTTGTAAAACACAAGGATGTTTATCCCAGCCTTGTGATGGAGGGATGGGAATGATATAGAGTAGAGAAGATATTGTAGGAGTCACTTACAGAGAAAAGATTTTGTAAAAAGTCAAAAGTGTGCTCACACTGTGTTCACACATCTATTTTACATAGGCAATCAAAGTTAGTTCTATTTCATAGATAGAATACATTCTGATTGTGTTCCTTTATGTATACCACCCTTCATTAACATCTGTAGTAAATTCACTGACATTATTCGTTTATTTTGTATTAACACTTTATCTGCTTTAACACTTTTAATACATAGCACCATCATGATAAAGAGACTGTAAAAATCCATTACCTTCCTTTCACAATTGAGAAACTGATTCACTTCACAGATAATCAAATACTTACTCAAGACCACGCATCTCATGAACAAAATTATCAAGGCTTGACCTCAAGGCAATATGGTTCCACAGCCCAAGTATATCTCATAAAGCATGGAGCTCTGTGATTACTAAATATATATATATTTACTAAATATATATATATACTATATATATATTATATATTTTATTATATATTATATATATAATCACATAAATCTTATACAAATATTTATATATAAATATACATATATTTTATTGCCTTCTCTCAAAATATGTTCCTCTGAAAGTTTCTTTTGCTCTCTTGTATTATAGTTACACACCCACTTTTGTGCATCTCTTTTGTTTCTTGTAGATGTCTACACTTCCTGCCTTGACTGCCTCTTCTAGCACCCTCTTTCCTTCATATTCCACTT